CTGTAGCTTTAGAGACCAGTGAGGGCCAGGTAACTGCAGACCATGGCCATGAAGCCCAGATAGAAGCTGGGCTTCTCCAGCACGAACCTCCTCCCATCACCACGTCACTCACCCCAGCCAAAGGGCTCAGTCTGAACGTGGGATGCTCTACTACATCCCACGCAGGGCCCCAAAGGCCCAGGCCCTGATGGGGAGACAGCTGGAGAGGGGGGAAGACAAAGGACAGACACCCAGGACTGCTGACTCCCAGAAACCTGCAGAATTCACTTTGGGTTTACTATCCCAGTCTCCAAAACTTTGGATTCTCTAAAGGCACAGAATAATAATAATGGAAAGGGTAGTAATAATAATAATAATAACCATCATAGCGGCTAACATCTCTTGGCCAAGTCCTGTGCAGCAGTCACTGTTCATGTTTTACAGAGATCCAGTCTGTTAATGTTACACCCTGTAAGGTACAAGTGGGGCGCTTTACTGAAGTAACTGTCCAAGAGTACCTAGATGGTAACTAGTAACCATTTCATGAATACTGTCTACCTGGCGACTGTTAGTGTGAAAGATACTGAGGGTGCATGGCTGCGTGGCCCACGCAGACTCCGTGGCTGGGATGGGAAGGGTCTATCTCGTGAGAGAGCTGTGTTGTAGAGCTGAGAAGAACTGCAGGGTGAGGAGGCTCTGCAGCCTGTTGCAAAAACACCATGGATCCTCCCGGAGCTGACGCCAACAGCAGTGGACCAGAGGCTGGTGCCCCGTCTCATGTGCGAGGTCTAATTTACCCAACCCGCTACAGGTTACAGATGCTGACTGGTCAAAACTCGTCCGAGATGCTATCTTGGTTCTCACAGTGCTGTCTTGGCAGCTCTGGGAATAAGTCTGAGAATCAAGTGCTAATCTTTTTCCAGTTCCAATTAGGTTACTAGCCTTGAGACATCTTTATTGCCCAATTATCTTTTTCTTTTCCTCCGCAGTACCTGAAGAGATAGCTTGAAAGAGTTTTTACCAGGAAAACAAATGAAGCAATCAGGAGGGCAACAATGCCCTGCTGTTCTGAGGGACTCAGAATTCAGACTGGCAGCTGAACACAACCCCCTTGAAGGTTTTGCTCCGCCCACCTGGACCTACGTAAGAGCCCCCAAGGGCTCCTGGACCCTCCCTGTGCCTGCAGTACCCTCCTCCACGTTGCCTGGGCTCATCTCGTTTGAGACATTTCAACCACTCTACGAGACATCTCATCCCCCAAGCCGTCTTCTCTGTACTGACCCTGACCCCTGCAAAGCCTTCCACTATTGCCCTGAACACTTTGTAGAACTACAAGCTTTCAGGTCTGTCTCCTTTACGTGAGTTCCTTTCCAAAGCCTTTTTCTTTAACAGACAGGTTCCTATCTTGCCTCTGCGTCTCCACTGCTTAATGAAACTAAGTGGTCCCTGACTTACGGCTAACATGAACTGGATGCTTGGCACTGATGCCAAAGGGACCTGAATTCAGCTGGTCTGCAGACCCTCCTCTGAGGTCCATTTTGCTTTACATAGCGTTGATAACCTTCAATAAGCAGCCCACAGCTGTGCCAGTAGCACAGGGGCTGGTGAAAAACAAGTGATGTCAGAGGCAGAGGTGCACGCGTCCTCCTACGGGTCCTGGGCGGTTCTGGCAGAGACGGCAGGCTGTCAATTCGTTACTCATCTGACTCATGAGAAGATTGCTGATAACCGATTTGAACAATGCCTCTGCTGCTCGGGAGACATTGATTTTGATGACGATGATTGATGAGGAAGGAGGTGGGTGGTGGAACTTGCACAGAAAGCAGTGAATGGACTTGCCCAAAAGCAGCCAGGGAGGGGCAGGCCTGGGAATACGGCCCGGGCTGCTCCCTCCCCACTCTGGTTCTTTCTGAAACCAGTCCCCTGGAAGCTTCATGTGTGCCGCAGTGTTGCAGAGTCTCAGGATGTTAACCGAACTCTATTCTTCCTACAATTTCAATTTCTCCCTCCAACCCCCCTCACCTTCTCTCCTCGGAATCCTTGCAGGTTATAAATCTGCAACAGTGGCTAGACACCCCTTGGGATGCCTGCATCCCATATTGGAGTGCTTGGATCTGAGTCCCAGCTCCACTTGCCATTCCGGCTTCCTGGGATGCACATCCCAGGAGGTAGTAAGTGATGGCCCAAGAACCAACATGGGAGACCCAGATTGAGCTCCTGGCTCCTGGTTTTGGCTTGGCCCAGTCCTGGCTGTTGTGAGCATTTGGGGAGTGACCCAGCAGTTGGGAGACCTCTTCCTGTTTGTCTCTCTCTTTTCTTTTCAAATAGATTAATAACAGAAGTTTTGAAATATGCAATAAACACCCAGCACTTAGTTATTATATGGCCAATTCTGCTCTCCAAGACTTGTTTCTCCAACTAGCTCATAAATTCCACGGAGGCAGGGGTTATAGTTTACAGATCCTTTATCCCTAACCTGAAATACTTGAGACCAGAAGTGTTTCAGATGTCTGATTTTTTCAAACTTTGGAATATTTACCTACACTCGTATATAATGATAGATCCTGGTGACGGACTCAAGTCTGAACATGAAATCTATTTGTGTTTCTTATATTCATCATCTGAAGGTAACTTTACAGACTCCTTTCTGGGCACTTGCATTTTGACTGTGCTCCGTCCCATTAAGGTCTTGTGGTGTCCTGACAGCACTCAGCAAGCTTCAGATGTGGGAGTATTTCAGATTTTGGATTTTTGGATTGGAGCTGCTCAACCTGTATTTCATTACTTCCCATGGAACCTAGGACAAGGCATGGTCCAAAGAAACAGGTGTGCTAGATGCACGTTTGTTTATCCACTCAATGTGTGTGTGAGTGTGTATGTATGTGTGTGTGTGAGTATATGCATGTGAGAGAGTGTGTGTGCGTGTATGTGCATGTGTGTGAATGTATGTGTGTTTCCGTGTGAGTGCATATGTGTGTGTGAGAGCTTGTGTGTATGTTGAGTGTGTGCTTGTTTGTGTGTGTGAGAGCGTGTGTTTGTGCGTGTGTGAGAGCGTGACTGTGTGCATGTGTGTGTGTTTGAGAGTGTATATGTGAGTGCATATGCGTGTGTGTGTGAAAGTGTGAGTGTGTGAGTGCACGTGTGTGCATGTGTGCATTTGTGAGTGTGTGTGAGTGTGTATGTGAGAGCAAGTGTACTGTGTGACTGTGTGTGCATGTGAGAGTGTGAGTGCACGCGTGAGTGCGTGTGTGTGAATGTGTGTGTGCGCCTGCGTGTGTGTATGAGTGTGTATATGTGTGTGACTGTGTGTGCATGTGAGTGTGTGAGTGCATGTGTGTGTGAGTGTGAATGTGAGAGTGTGTGTGCATGTGTGTGAGTGTGTGTGTGTACAGGGCACTGGCATCTCCTTCATGAGCATTCGGGAGCCTCACTGCCTCCATCTAAAAACCCCTTCATCCGAGGGCTGTGATGAGTTATTCCCAGAAATTCCTCTCTGGGAATCTGTTCCTTGTTTATTGTTTTCTAGCTTATTCCATTAATATAAAGTTGTAGTTTAGTGATTATTCTGTTAGCAGAAAATAGCAAGAAAGAGCAGGAACTAAAGGTGTCACAAAAGAAATCACTGAGCCAAACTACAAAATTGAAAAAAAAAAAATCCATCCACCGACGCTGGGGAAAGGGACCCCTCAGTTATCTGGCTATTGAAAAAAAATCATATTTCAGCTTTGAAACACCAGGAATACAAGCAGATGCAATAGCAAACCGGAGGGTTATCAGGAAGGCGTGGTGCACCTAGGGCTTATGGGAAGAACACGGGCCAGTGGGTGAGGTTGGGTAAGGCTGTGAGAGGCCCCTGCCCCACAAGGGGCACCTGGTCACTGGCAATGGGGCAGGGCTTCTTCCCTGAGCACCACCACCTTTCTTCTCTAGGCTTTGCCCTTCCCCTCATAGTTTACAAAACTGAGAGATGAAACACTCATCTACTTTGGGAAATTCCATAAGACAGTGCATTCAAGAAAATAAAAGGAGAAGGGACAGTCACTGTGGCACAGCTGGATATGCCACTCCTTGTGATGCTGGCACGCCATACTGGAGTACCAGCTGGAGTTCCAGTAACTCTGCTGCTGATCCAGCTTGCTTGTAAGGTGCCTTGCAAAGCAACAGAGGATGGCTCAAGTACTTGGACCCCTGCCACCCAGGTGGGAGACCTGGATGGAGCCCCAGGCTCCTGGCTTTGGCCTGGTTTAGCCCTGGTTGTTGGGGCCATTTTGGGTAGTGATCCAAGAAATGGAAGGGTTCTTTCTGTCTCTCCCTTTCTCTTTGGCCCTCTGCAGTTCAAATTAATAATATAAATCTTAAAAAAATGATAATTAAGTTGAGTTGAGTTCTTCAAAATGTGAGATATTTTCATTTAGTACATCAAAAAAATCAGATGGAAAGATTCTTGCTAGACACCAGAGCCATGTT